CGGTGATTTGGGGTTGGGCCTTAAAAAAAACCCGGGCCAACCCCGTGGGGGCGGGGTTGATTATTTTGGGCTTTTTGGGCTTTCAAACCCCCCCCCCCCCCCCCCCCCCCCCCCGACAACAATATGCATTTCGCTGCCTCAAGTTGTGCGTCAGCGACAGCAATGAACAGGTCGCCAGTGACAACATCATGATCCAGAGCCTGGGCGACTATATCCCCTGCCAAGCAATGCCGGATAGTGGCATCTTCAAGGAGCTCGCAAGCGCCTGGAATTGACCAGATTGCCCGCTCTCGCAAGGGCGGCACCAAATAGTAGTCTGTCGCCATACTAATCTATCAAGGGGCAGTGAAAGTATATCGCTCTACATTCTCCTGCACAGCCTCTGTGGCCCGCGTCTGCTCCTCCAGCATTTCGTCTCTCAGACTCTGCGCTTCGTCAAATCCCATGGGCCACTCTCCAACCAAGTTCGCGATTTGATCTGCTATCTCCTGTGAGACCCCACGGCTCGCCCAGTCGACCTTGGACGCCCCCGCCGCAGCCCACCACCCGTGCTGCTGTGGCGGGACATTCCTGGTCGAGCAGACCCTGTAGTGCGGGTCCACGAGGTGCAGGACTAGGAACCGCCGGCGCCCCGGGCATGCGCGGTCGAGCAGCTCGCACGGCTCCATGCGGTGCTGTAGGACGTTCGGGTAGGCGAGGAGCCTGCCGTCGGGCGTGGCAACCGTGCCCAGCGTCTGCAGGGCCCGGCCGCCGGCGCCGTCGCGGCCAAGGTCGTCGGGCGGATGGACGCCGTACACGCTGGCAAGCTCGTCGAACTTCCCGCTCTCGTAAATGTGCTTTGACGAGTCAAGGTCAGCCTCGACGCGGAAGGATAGGGATCCCGACGCCATGGTCACGTTGTGGCTGTCGTAAAAGACAATGCTAGTCGCGACAATATGGTCATTCAGCATGCCATCTACATGCCAGTCGGTCTCTCTGCTATCGGTAGCAACAAGACTTAGTCAGCCCCATATCTCTGAACAGTGTAGAGTGGCCCCAAAAACGTGTCTAGGTAGCAGGCAAAGTGATAAAAGGAGAGGGGGGGAGGCGATAGGAACGGGGCACTTACCTGACCGGATCTTCTGGCGAAAGTTCAACGCTTACCACCTTTGCAACAACCTGCAGTCCTTGCTTCCGGAATGTCTTTTGAATTGACACTGTGTAGAAGGTATGGTCGCCGTCGGGGGGTAAGGGGACGGTGCGGTCTCGCTGAGGGCGCAGGTCTCTAGGAGGAAATAGAGCCGTACCAGCTCTCCCGGCTCTCCAATCTCGGTACGTAAAAGAGACACCAGGCTCGGGCTGGAGCCAATGCCTCATCATCAGATATTTGGTATACACAGTTGTCTCAAGCCCAAGCTCATTCTCCCAGTCCTCCGGGATGCTGGTAGACGGCTGGGCGACCATGTTTGGAAGCGCGACGTATGCAGCTACTCCCTTCCTTGCCTCCAGATACTCTGCGCTCTCTCTACCACACTCGCGCTCGATGTACCTCAGTTCCTGCATCCAATCGTCGGGTTTGGGGGGCACCCATAGAATGCCGTATGTCAAGATCCGTGGCGGCAGATGACCGCGCTGCCTGAAGACAAGGACTTGGTTCCACGGCTCGATCGACAAGGAGATGACCTTCTCGATCGTCCGGTAGAGCGACTTGTGAAATATCGGGTGGATATTGTTGATGTACGATCTAATCTTCACCTCTGTCGCCGAAGCGGCCTCTCCAGCAAAGTCGACATCAAAAGGGAGACACTGGAAGCGGCACGAAAACCTGAAAGGGCCGGTTCCCAACCACGGACCTCGCTGTGAGTGATCACGGCCGCCACCACGCCCTCGACCCGCTCCTCCGCGGCCGCGTCCCCAGGTCCGGTCGAGGAGAAACCTCGGGTGGCCCCAGTGGTGGAGCCGTTGGGCCGGGGCTACTACACCTGTCCCGACCGTGCTTAAGGCGTCCTCCACGCCGACCTCTCCCCCACTAGAGAGAACATTGGTGCGGCCGTAGACGAGGGGGAAGAGGGTTGGGTCGGCGAGAATCCGCACACGCCGGTCGGAGCCGCCATACGTGATGGAGCAATTGTCCAGGAGCGACGCAGCTCTGGTCTGCAGCTCTCGCAGCAAGGTCGAGGAGATGCGAGAGTCGGACTTGCATATCCGCGACGCCGAGTCTAAGACGTTGACGTACGCTGCGGTCCTGAACACAGCCGCCTTGTCGCGGAGCTCCTCCAAGCACCACTCCCAAGCCGGAGGGCTGATGGCAGGCAACTTCAGCGCCTCGTCGCGCCAGTCGAGAAGAACAGCAGCGTCGCCGTCAGCGAGGACGGCGTCCCAGCCGGGACGGTCGGTTATCGAATTCATGAGATGCAGCATGGCAATCTCGCGGGCGGTCAGGCGCGGTTGGGCCCAGTCGATGGCCCCGTGCGCGAACCTCTCGTCCGGCTTGCGCTCGATGTTGACAGGGTATCCGAATCCGGGGACACGCAACAGAGCGGCGGCGCCGGCATTGCAGAAGTCTACATCGGCCACGCCATCTCCGTGCTGTTCGACGTGAAACCCACTGGAACGGATTCTTGCTGCCGCCATGCTGTTCGGCGCTCTTCGTTTGTATTCAGGGATGGGATAACCGCCAAAACTTCCGCTACGCCGATGGGAACCTCTCGCTAGGATCTAGGTCCACCCCTATCACGCACAGCCCCAGGCAACCATGAGCATTTATATTCGTCACCATCTGGTTTGTTATCCTCAAGCATGCACTGGCATGCTCAGTGGCATCCAGTGGCATCCAGTGGCATGGAGGGGCTAGTAGTGTTTACCCCCGTCGCAGTCGTGCTTTGGGCTTGCGCGCTCGAGGAGCTCAAGGTTGGAGCTGGTGCATTTGAGGATTGAGCCGGCCGTTCATTTCACTGAAAAATTGTGTCATCGCATGCCGCGTATGCATAATCCGGCTTAACCACCTGCCGTTAACGGATAACCTTAGCTTACCTTATCTGGTACGCACAACCTAGCCGAAATGAAATGAGATGGGCAGAAAACAACACTCATCCCAAACTCAAACCACAGCTTAATTACAGTCCGGTTCGAACGACCACTCTTTGCACGCCATGTTAGGCTCCGTCCTTGCACTGCTTTTGAGCACTGCACCGTTCGGCCTCGGCACTCTATTCCAGGACGAGCAAGTGGTCTTCGGGCCATCTCCCGAGGTTCTTGGTGCGGATGCAAAGCACGTTGACCAGGCCATTCTTGCAGCCTTGAAGACGCACTCCGACCCCGTCGCTGCGCTTATTTCCCTTGAGCCCGGCATTGCAGCCGAACTCGCCCAACCACGGCTCCTGCACGTTTCAGGAGAACGGGAGCCAGAATGGATGACTGAGGGAGACAAGCTGCGCCTCCGCAGACGCGGGAAGAAGTTCGCCGACATCACAGATCATCGGGATTTCTATGCACAGCAAGTGGGAGAGTCGCGGGCTGGTAAAGCTAGTGAGTCTGCCTGCTCAACGCTGTTGAGATGCATTAGTTCACGCCATTATTCGCAGACCTGCCCGAATTGACTCACCAGAGACTCGTCAAACCCCTCTTCCCCCATGTCTCGACGCGAAGAATGCACGACGTTCTCCAGCATCTGACCGGCTACTACAATCGGTACTATGGCGGTACCTACGGACAAATGAGCGCCGAGTGGCTCCACGACCACATCGCCAAGGTAGGGCGTCTCTGATTCTGCTCAAAGCGGGGAAAGTTGCTGAGCGGGATCTGGGGCACAGATCATTGACAGCTCCCCGTTCGGCACCCACATCTCTCTGGAATATTTCACTCACACCTTCCCCCAACCGTCCATCATCGCGCGCTTCGAACCCAAGGTCCGCAACTTTTCCCAGCCACAGACCATCCTCGGAGCGCACCAGGACTCGGCAAACTACCTCTTCCCCCTCCTGCCCGCGCCAGGCGCCGACGACGACGGCTCCGGCACCGTCAGCATCCTCGAGGCGTTCCGCGTCCTGGCCGAGCACGGCTACACGCCCAGCCACGGCCCGGTCGAGTTCCACTGGTATGCCGCCGAGGAGGGTGGGCTGCTGGGTAGCCAGGCCGTTGCGAGGTACAAGAAGGAGCAGGGTGCGCGCATTGGGGCAATGATGGAGTTTGTGAGTGATGCTGGAACTGGGAAACGAAAGGTTTGGAACCGGCGACTAACGACTCTTTAATTCCACAGGATATGACTGCCTTTATTGCCCGGAACGCGACCGAAACGATTGGCTTCGTCGCGACTGAGGCGGACGCGGCGCTCACCAACTGGACGGTGGCGCTGAGCGAGGAGTACATATCCATTCCCGCCGGAATATACGAGCTCTCTGCGTAGGTTAACTGCCCCCGCCCCCCAACTCCATTCCTTGCCTGTGGATGGGAGTCTGATGAAGCAGTAACGCCGGCTCCGACTATATGTCCTACACCAGGCTCAACTACCCTTCTGCCTTTGCCACGGAAGGTAACCCCTTGGCAAACGGTGGGTTCCCTGGCGAATTCAACCCGTACGTGCATGGGGTGAACGACACGGTGGATGTCAACGACGATTCAGGCTTCTTCTCCCTCGACGTGAGTCTCGTTTCTGTTTTCGTTTGGGCTATTCACTGATACGAGACAGCACATGGCGAGATTTGCGGAGCTGGCGATTGCTTTTGCAGTGGAGCAGGCCGGATGGGACAACACCTGGCGGTAACCAACCCGTGAGAGGACAATTAGCTAAACCAATAATGATTACTTAATAGAAGCGACATTCCATAACAATAACCACTAATAGCTTGCAAAGACAACATGGTCATTATCACTGGCACACATCATTTAGTGCGAGAAAAGCCTCGCACGAAGTAAGCATGCCTGGCGACAAGTTCTGAAAATCAAAGAGCCCAGCGTCAAGATCCAGCTGCATCTCCGGCAGCTGCGACGATGACGCAGGCCGCGGTGGCGCCTCTTTCTCCTGCTCCTGCTGCTCCTGCTGCTGCTGCTGCTGCGACGGCGGCGTCTCCAGCCGGGGCTGCAGACGCGGGATGTCGCGGTCCGCGAGACCGAGGATCTCGCGGGCGATGACACCCATCTCGCGGTACGTCCGCTTGCCCAGCGGCCAGTACTCGCCCAGCGCGTGCAGTGCCCCCATGCTGGACCGGACGCGCTCGCGCTCGAGCTGGAGGGCGCGGCCTCGGAAGAGGTACCGGCACGCCGAAAGGTGCGCCACCAAGGTGTTGGCAACCATGCAGATGGTGAACGGCGTTTGCGTGACGATGTTGGGTGGCAGAGGGAGGAGGTCACCGATCCGCCGGATGGCTAGGAGGGCTTTGGTCGTGTGTACGTGCGTGTCCTCGGAAGAAGACGACCGCTGTTTGGCCATGGGGGCGGGCGGCGCGCATCGTGCGACCGATTCCACGTCGCTATATGCCAGGTCCGAGAACGGGCGGTGGAGGTCGACAATATATCTGGGGAAGCTTTGCGTTAGATGGGCGGGGGGAAATGAGAGTTAATCAAGAGGATAATTAGGGGGCACCAACGTGTTTATCAGTATGTTTGCTTTGAATAACTGCATGTCAACTTCCCGTTTGCTGTCAAGTAGACTCCGTTTGGATTGTGGCAGCAACGAACACCAGGCCCACAGGCTGATGTCGGATTGTGCGCAGATTGCCGGGAGGTTCTGAGCAACGGGGATGTTTCCTGAAAGCACTAGGTCTAGTGTACGCGTAATCCCAACGAGGTGAGCGAAAGACGAGAATCCCGGATCGTTGTCGGGCAAGAACTCTCGCATGTCGTACTCCTCTAAAGTCCGAGGTGGTGGGATCTCCTACACCAAAAGGGTTAGACCGGAGAAGCAACGCAGATCGGGCGACGGGGCTGTGTGGCATTACCCCAGATTCATAACATCCATCCTCGCATGGAAGCAGAGTAGTAACCTCAATCCCACTGACCCGAGTTGGGAATGTATGTGTGCTGCCAGCAATATGGGCGTCGGTAACATAGAGCTGCCACCAGGTACGGCGCCAGCTTTCTTGTAGCACGGGGTTGTCGTGACCCTGCTCCGTCGCAAAGGGAGCTAGCTGCATTCGTAGTTCCAGGGCCGCCCCAATGGCTTTATCAAGTAACCGAAGGCCTTCTTCAATCTCGTCGCACCAGTATATGGCAATAGAGAAGAGCATCAAGGCTTGAATTTGGTGTGGTGTGAGGGGGCCTGTGTAGCCGGGGCTGATGGGAAGGGCATTCACCGCCATCTTCTTGAGCGGTTCCGACGCGACGGCCGGCTCGAAAAGGGAACCGATATACTGCATGACAAGTAGGATGGGGGTAAACATCTCAGGATTCGTGCTGTTATGCTGCTGCAGTGCCCAGCGCGGCAACACGCAAGGGTGGGCACCGTGGAAGTAGGTGTAGTAGTGGCCGATCAGATCTTGGTCGATGGAATCGGCGCCCGGTAGATTCTCGGAAGAGAAGGAACTTGGAAGCGTTATGGGCGTACTGCTGAAGCCTCTGCCCGCGCTCCTAGTAGTTCCATTGCCGCCGGAAGAGGATGTCGGACTGGGGAGTGTCGGGTTATTGGTAGCCTGCTGGAGGTGGCTATTGGATATGGCCGTTGTCTCGCCTAACCTCCTGGAGCGGCGATGGCCACGGCGCGACCGGGCATACGTGCATGCTAGGCTATCGGCAGCGCACCGAGAACATATAGGCGTTTCGGCGTTGCATTTCATGTGCCGCGACCGACATGGCAGGCAGGCCAGCGAGACGCGATGCAAGGCCCGAACGGTTTCGCCCTGGCAAAGACTGGGGGCTAGTGTTGAAGATTGCATCACGGACCACCTGAGTATGTCTCCCGGACACGGTCAACAATTGGGATTCATACACTAGCAGGAGAGAGCGTTCGGCGAAGGTCCGTTACTGTCAGACTAGACAGCAGAGTGTGTTCGTCGCTACCACTGCCGGGTATGCGCGTGACTCTACGGCGGGCAGAATTGGATTAGTAATGACACCGGGGGTATGTGGGTGGGTCCACTCAGGGGGCGAGTCTTCTTTTTCTAATTCCCGAATAGCCTATTGCAGGGTCGTCAATGCATTGACTCAAAGGGTAGGCTGCTCGTTCGAGTTCACCGGGAACCCATGAGGGTATCCATTTGACCCCGGTTAGGAGGCGAGTCGCCGCTACTCTTTTCTTCGGGCACGAAATCTAGACCACTGCATAATTACCTTATCCTAGCCCAAGGCCAGGATTTTATAAAGCGAGATCGAAGGCATTAATGGATGCCATTGCATACATGCGTTGCAAGTTCCCTTACTTACTCTACTGTTGATCATTCAACAGTCACTAGACACAATGGCTACCGAGGACACCATCTACGACCGAAGGTAATTACGTGAAACTTCATTAGTCACTCCCTGCAAATTACCAAGTCAAGAGAACTACAATCACGAAGGTCAGAGACAGCTAACACAGTCCTCGCAGCCGGCCCCTTCCTGCACTCGCGCCGGCATTTCAATACAAGTTGCTCAACTGCCCTGGCAAATCTATTATCGGCCTGACCGTCAGCTTCCCGCCCAACGGCGCATCCCCCCCGCACCGCCACGGCGGCGCGTCCGTGACAGGCTACGTCCTGGAGGGTACAGTGCTCAACAAGATGAACGACGAGCCAACCAGGGTGATCGAGGCCGGGGGGACCTGGTACGAGGCGCCCGGGTGCCACCACAAGGTCAGCGCCAACGTCAGCACCACCGAGCCTGCGACACTACTAGCCACGTTCGTCGTCGACACGAAGGTCATAGAGGAGGGTGGCTTAGCCGCATTGGTGCAGGTAGACGAAGAGTATCGGGATGTACAACTCAGAGCTTGAGTTGATCGCCGAAGTTCATGGAGACCCTTCGAAGGCAAAGCGCGAATAGCGGCCTGTCCGACTACAGACTAGAATATGAATCTATTATAGGCACGGATCGAGGTTGCATTAAAGAATGAAATGAAAATTTGAAGTGGAAAATGCAAAACTGTTGAGTGACATGGTCCAGAGTTTGAGCGCAGGGACTACTCCTCGACTCCGGTTGAGACTTTACTACTAACACCTCTTTCTCTGTCTCTATTGCTAGCTTGCACCAAGAAGAATCAAATAAATAAAAGTCGGAATAGAAAAGGGGAAACAACGCAGGCAGACCACCTCGCGGTCATCGGCACCGGGGTGAAGACTGCGTTAGCTATGTTTTGCTAGCCTAGCACGCGGTGCTTGGAGGGGCCGCTTCGGCTACTTGTTGGTTTGTTAGAAGGACTGGGCATTTCACAATCTTCCCGTCCGGCTATTGTTTGATGACTTCCCCGCCCGGCATGCATACCCCCCAAGTATGCTACCCAAGTATGCTACTCAGAACAACAAGGGGCTGACGAACCGGCTCCGCCGTAAGCCGGGATAATACAACGCCACAGAGTTATTTTCTTCCCTGCCCAAAGGCTATCTGAGCTATCTTGGCCGGGTTACACGGACCGCCGTTGCTTCTTCTTGTGCGCTAAACGTGTCCTATCCCGTCGCTATTTAAGAAATCGAATGGACAGTTGAAGATCAACCCGTAATTACATGCCACCATTAATTACCATTGACTGGAGGGAGCGTTACAAAACACGACCTGCCCAGTTCGCATTAATCATACCTTCATACCCACTCTAACCGTTGACCCAAATCTCGAAGCTCACGATGGCCAAAGAATCTGGTGTGGTTCCGGCGCCAGCGGAGGACTCTCTCGAATACGGCCCAGATATACCAGTGCAACCAAAGGAGGGGGCCACCCCGCCTCGAGAGGTCCACGGCATCACGGTATGTGATTTCGTCAAAGCCAGAGCGCGGTCGTCTCTCGTCAGCTAACCCGGGCTGGAAATACCACACAGTGGTTCTGCATCGTCGTCTCCATGCTCGGCTCCACCTTTCTCTACGCCCTCGACAATACTGTGGTAGCTGATGTTCAAGCCGATATCCTGCGCACGCTGGGCGGCGTGGAGAAGCTGCCCTGGCTCGGTACGGCCTTCGTGTGGGCGACCATGTCGACGATCCCGATCTGGTCCCGGCTGTACGCCGCTCTCAACGCCAAGTGGCTGTACCTGACCGCGTGCGTCGTCTTCGAGGCCGGCTCCGCCGTCTGCGGCGCCGCACCAACCATGAACGCCATGATCGTCGGCAGGGCCGTCACTGGCCTCGGCGCGTCGGGGATGTACCTGGGCTGTCTGACGTGTGCGTCTCCCGTACCCCCCGCCCCCCAAACAAACAAACAAACCTACCTTGGGCTGCTGCCTTGCGCGGCCAATCTCGTCTGATGCCGGGTTTTAGATATCGCGGTGAAAACGTCGGATGCCGAACGGCCAAGATATATGGGCTATACTGGCCTCAGCTGGGGAAGTGGGTTCATCCTCGGCCCAATCATCGGAGGTGCCTTTGCTCAGAGCAGGCTGACATGGCGCTGGGCATTCTACATCAACCTGCTGCTGTTTGTCGTATTCGGTCCCGTCTTCCTGTTCCTACTTCCCCACCATCGCCCGCAGAAGGATATGACTGTCGCAAAAGCGCTCAAACAAGCAGATTGGCTCGGTTCCGTCCTAGAACTCGGAGGCACGTTGACCGGAATCATGGCCATCTCGTTCGGTGGCGTGGTGTATCCGTGGGGCAGTGGTCGTACAATCGGACTCTTTGTTACGGCGGGTGTTGCATCCGCCCTCTTCCTAGCCCAACAACATTTCGCATTCCTCACCACGAAAGCCCACAGGATCTTCCCAATGGAGCTGTTTAAGTCCAAGTCCATGGTCTTGATCTGGTTTCTCATTGTCTTCCCAGGCTGTGCTCTGGTGGTAGGTCCCAATCTTGCTCATATCTTCTCGAAACCAACGTTGGAAGAACTAAGAAGTTGTCAAGGTCCCAATTTTCTACCAGCCACTCTTCTTTCGATTCGTCCACGGAGACTCCCCCATCGACGCAGCGATACGTCTCCTTCCCGTCGTCATGCTGTTTGTCTTCTTTGCTATAGCTGGAGGAGCCATCGTATCGAAGACGGGGTGGTTCTATCCCTGGTACCTTATCGGGAGCCTTCTCATCATCCTTGGTTCAGCATTGATGTGTGGGTAGACACTTTGATAGCATCATGCACATGAAATACTGGAAACTGACTGCTAATTACGTCCCTTCTAGACGCAGATATCGGCCTCGACAGCCCCGCCGGAAAATCCTACGGGTACACGGCTGTCATGGGAATCGGAGCGGGAGCTATTGGACAGCTATCCTACTCGATAGCGCAGTTCAAGGTCGATCCCAGCCTGGTCCCGGAAGCCGTGGGCCTCATCTGCATGGGCCAGTATCTAGGTATCACGGTTGGCCTCACAGTCTCGGGCGCGATATTTCAGAATCTGGCGTTCAATCGGGTCTCGGCGGTCCTGCCAGCAGGAACGAGCGCGGATGATGTCAAGGCTGCCATTCAAGGCCTCGAGGACACGCTGGCATCGGTGGACGCAATAACGCGAAGAGAAATTCTATTAGCGATTGTCAGCGCAGTCAACAGCACGTACACGCTGGCGATTGCTGCCGGAGTTGTCGCTCTCGTGTCAACCATCCTCCTCGGGTAAGAAACGTCTATTCGCTTGAGTTAACCAAGAAGCATGCTGACGTATCTTAGGAATGAGCGCTTTTCCATGAGCAAGGCAACGGCAATTGCAGCTAATTAAGTGTCAATGCTTTAGTTGTTTAACTTTAATATAGTCACCACACTTTAGATACCTACTCTAAGAGAAGGCACTGACTTCGTTGTCTAACTACTAATTATCAAGTAATTACTGCAATTTTGACGGGAGACAAAGGGAGTTGTGATGAACTTCTTGTAAACTGCCTTGAACCTGACTCTTCATTCATTGTATTCCTGCTGACTTGAATTCGTTATCATTTTCCTCTTGCAGCTCTCTGGTTTCTTAACCCTGGGACTCACCTCACAGCCTTCCGTCTTCTCACGGCAACTCCACGACAATCAACCTTTCCACCGCCTCTCCGCATTGCCAGATCTTCGAGACCTTCAGTCCTGCTCCCTCAATCAATTCTCGCCACTCATTCTCGCGCCTCTCGTACGCGGCGTGGAACATCATCATGAGCATGTCCACGCTCGTCTCAAACCATCCCGCGCCCATTGATGGAACCACAATCTCATTGATGAGGATCTTGCTCTGCCCACGCACAAGCGCGGGCTTCAGGCTCTCCAGGATCGCCCGGCACTGTGCGTCAGGCCAGTCATGCAGCACCATCTTAAGGTAGTAGGCGCGAGCCCCCTTGACCGGCTGGGGTTTGAAAAAGTCGTACGCCATGGCCTCCATGGGTGCCAGTGCCAGGGCATCGAGCTCGGCGATAGCGCCGGGCAGGTCCTGCAGGATGAGCCGGCCGGGCATGTCGGGAAAGGCTGTGTGGAATGCCTCGAGGTCATGCCCTGTCGCGCCGCCTATGTCTACGAGCAGGACGTCATCAGGGCCACACGCCGGGGCTAGCATCTCCGCGACCGGCACCTCCTGGAACCAACGGGGTCCGAGCGTCTTGAGCTTCATGTGGTTGAGGAAGGCAGTTTTCCTCTCCTCGTTTCCCGGCTGGAAGATCCAGTCGAAGTAGTGCTGGTCCGTCTTGTGTGAAAATTTGAACAACGTCTTGTCCTTGTCGGTGGGGTTAATGAAGCCGCCCAGCTGTGTACGGAAATACGGTATGACATTGGCGTTTTCGATGGAGAGCCCATCGAAGCAGTCCTTGAACATGCCTTGTGCCTTCTCCTCGGCCAGGGTATTTGTCACACTATTGGGACCATAGTTGTCAGGTCCTGCCTCGTCGACGAGCTGCGCAGTTGCGAGATGCTGGAGCATACGCCCTTGATTCAGGATCGGTCAACCTTGGAACGGAAGGGAAGGGGTAATTAGATGGGTTCACTGTTCATCCGAAGACTTACGCAACAGTTTTGGGTCAGCGCCTGTCATTTGCGCAAGCTCATCCACCGTCTTCGGCAATTTGACTTCAGCCATCTTGTCAAAGAGTTTGAGCTGAATGCAGACACGGACTGCAGTGGCAATTGTTGGCTGGCTATAATGAGTATCTAACAAGGTACTTATCAAGCCTTGGGATTTCGTAATACCTCATACATAGACAACTGGGCGATCCTCTCAAAAGGAGGTTGCAGCGCGTTGGCAAGCTCTTTAGCTGCCTGGTATAATTCCTTCGGAGAAACAGTATCACCAGTATTGTATGCGTTCCCCTTGTCCAGGAGGGCTCGCAACAAGGCCGACACCTCTGTGGACTGTCGTGATTCTTCTGCCATGTCGCAATCCAATGTTATTAAGCCTTCAGTTAGAGTTTGAGGAGACTAGAGCTAGTGACTGGGTGGCGGATACAGTAACTAGGTGTCGCAAAAGAACCATCAGAAGTGATAATGATAATACTACATGTAGTAATATAATGCGGAACCCTACGACGTCATAGTGGCGCGACATGCGGAGTCATAATGCAGCCGCAAGTTCTGCCCCTTGATACGTTGAAGGGCGGGCAGTAAGCGCTGGTTAGCCCACTGGCACATCGGGTTGCCAGCTTGGAAATAGCATCGCCAGGCCCGTTTCATTGAGAGCAGTGTCCTCCTTCACGTCTAGATGTTGATATCAAAGACGAAATCTCACGGCGGTATTCTATGCTTCAAGTGGAAGATTCCAGTGTGGGTGACGGGACATGCTGATCCTGTCACTTCCCTCAAGGGATTCTGTGTCGGAGCAAAATTATCCCGCTTACTTCCTCTGGGACCTCATGCTGACGACCTGCTCCCTTGTAGGCTCGTATATCACGTGAATTGGCGCTGCATTGGCGTGGTACGTGTTCTTTAGGTCGCGTCTTGATTCGCGGGGCGCGTCGATGGTGGCTCTAGCCTCCAGCCACCTCGTCAGAGGTCAACCAACCAGCCAACCCGGCTCTCGATGGACTGACTCACTTGACCACAGTCGGCATGATAATGCTCCGTCACTCCTGTATCGTTTTCTTATAAATATGCGGCAACTCGTCTCTGGAAAACACAATGATCTTCCCCTCATCGAATCGCTCTCCTTGCAGCCAGACATAATTACCTCGTCCATTTTGCCACACAGAAAGTTCGCTTCGAATCGGAACCATGGTTGACTGGAAACCCCCCAAGTTCGGCTCTCCCTGCTGGATGGGCATTGCTGCCACCGATGTCGGTCGAGGTATGAATCGATACCCCGCTCCATATGTCTTGACGCTCCCACCCCCAAATCACTTTTACTCCTCTTTGTCTCGATCCCTCACAGGGATCGTAGCCTAAAGAAACCTCTTTTGCAACTTTTGTCTTGCTACTAACCTGACTCTCAATAGCCCACAAGTTCTACTCTACCGTCTTCAACTGGACCTTCAAACCGCAGCCTGCTGACCACCCCGAGTCGAAGATACGCTTATTCGACTTCAACCCCGACGTCAGTCTTTCCGGCGGATTACTGCTCGTCCCCGAGGAGACGGGTGCCCTAAAGACCGGTAAGGGTGGCACGTGCGTCCATTGGTTTGTGGAAGACATCGACAAGACCAGCGAGGCCATCATTGCCGCCGGCGGCAACATGATCTCGGACAAGCTGCCCGAGGGCAAGTCTGGCCTGTACCGCTATTTTGAGGACACCGAAGGGAATATTGGCAGCGTGTACCAGTTCTGTCCGGAAGGTAATCAGTAGAGAGTATGCGTGGATCTGCAGCGGGGAAAGGGCGAGGTACAGCGACGATGGAGAAACTCAAGGGCGAGCTAATTATTTCACCATCAGAGGAGCGTAATTAAGCAAGAACTTGACGTTGACCGCTATGAGACACTGCCTGTTGAAAATGAGTCTGCTTTTAAGTGGGATGTGATCGAAGTTAGTCATGGTTGGGCCCGGATGACCCCCCCTTAATTCCGTCGCTCCTTGCAGCTCAATGGCGACCAGAGTCCCTGAGGATCGACTTGCTAAACAGTCGCACAAAATGGAATCGAAACATGGGGGGTTTCAGTCAAGATCGGAATATGCGGCATGAAGTCGCAGTGACTGTGATTGGTCCACGGTGGCAGCCGAGTCCAGTCGGCGCGATTCTCGGGTAGCACAGGACGGGGCTGGCTCCCTGATGCAAATGTTGTTCCCCCCTACTGTCAAAATTATATGCTAGGGTAATTACTATATGGTGGGTCATCGCTGGAATGACAGGCTTTCGCTTTAAGCACTAATTAGTGGCATATTTTTGGCTTTATTGCGCGGGTAAATAGAACCAGACTGTCGGGTCTTGTCTTGTGGACAGACGCGGCTCTCCCTCCCCAGCGGTGGTCTAATATATTGTTGTGAGGGGTGTTTGATTCCTCCCTGCCAGGTTTTCTCATCTTACAATTCTTCGTTGCGAGAGGCGCAAAGGAACACACAAGATGACTTTTCTCTCTCTCGTTACTCTCTGCTGCGCTGCGTTCGCAATGGCAACAGCGCAGACTTGGAAGCCTGGCATCACCGAGGTTGACCTGGTCTTCCCCCGTGCCAACGAGACCTACAAGCCAACCTACCCATTCCCCATCGTCATCTCCATCCAGAACCCGGCTGCCATATGGCAGTTTGGCTTCGCCTTTTACTTCGATATTCAACCTGTCAGCCACATGGACTGCTGTTGGGGCTGGGGCAGTTTCCCCGAGGCTGACGGCGACCTTGAAACCCACGGGACATACAATGGGTCTGATACCATAACCACCATCTACGCGACAGACGCAATCCAGAAGAGCAACGGCACTGCGAAGGAGTGGATACTATTCTGGCGGTCTGCTACTCTGTGGAACTGCACCCCCCCAGCCGAGGATGGCCAGCCTCCGACCTTCTCTAATTCCTCGCTCGACCGGTTTGGTTCGATATACTTCAACATCAGCGACGATGGTGATCTCCCGATTATCAATGCAACTGGCGCGCCATGCCCCGTCACAGCATCTACGATCAAGGTCAAGGAGGCCATTGAGAACCGCGGAAATCCCTACCAAACGAAATTGAATTACCCTTTTCCCTACTGCCCCTATTTCGACCCAGATACCCCCCGCCCAGAAGGGAACCCGTGTGCGGTCAAGGCATCGGACGAGTTGGCGAGAAACGTTACTAAGAAGATGTTAGATACTGCTGCATGTGTCGGGAATACTGCCTGGCCAAATTCGAGCCTTACTGGGCCATGCAATGATCGATACTACAGGGGGTCCTCAGACGCCCCAGTGGTGATGGCTAGATGCAGCACAATGGCCCTGGCTGCTTTCCTTCTTTTTGTCGCCACGTGGGAGCTGTGAATTTGGCGTTTCCGGCAATGACTTCACCGCGCTTTCCCTTGTGAAGCGTTCTTGTCACTATGCCTGTCATCATATTATCCACATTCGGGCAAAAGAAGCTCAGCACCAGCGCCACACCACTAAACGCGATTGAAGCGAGGAAAACTGTCTGGTACGCCGCGACATTCGCGTTCTTATACGCGGCAACGCCGACCTCGGTAATCTGGGGCGTCAGACCTTGGATGCCCTCGAACGAGCCCGTGGTTAGGGCCTGAATGAAGGCGGCGACAGTGGAGGATGGGAGACCGGCTTTGATGAGCGCGGGTGGGACCTGTGCGGGGATCGTTGTGCCGAGACGGTTGTTCAGGATCGTCGTGTAAACGGTTGAGGCGAGGGTTGAGAAACCTGATCTCACAGTCCCGGCAAGACCGACCGCGGTGCCGATCTCAGCCTGATCGTTGAGAAGAGGCTGGAATTGTGATGCCGATACCCTCGACGCAACCGACGAAGAAGCAACCCACGAACAGAAAACCAATGACGGTGTTCTCGTTGTCCACCGTAGCGCAGGCCGCATTGAAAGGGCCAAAGCTGCGCTGCCCCAGTGGCGGGTAGCGAGTGAACCGGACGAGACGCTCCGCCTCCTCCGCGGTCTGCACCATGGGGGCCACGATTCCCGCGGCACCGGAGTCTAGCGCCCACTTGACCCACTCGGCACCTGTTGAAGGGATGCGGACGAGCGAGGCGCATCTCACGTAGGAGCCGACGGCGATGGCGTGGACCATGGTTGTCGCATCGCGAGCCGAGAGGGGGGAGTGCTCGATGTTGATGAGCATCCAGTCGAAGCCCGCGCGGACCATCATGTGTGCTGAGAATCATGATTCGATGGCTAGTTATGCACCCAGAATGGGCTCTTTCCGCGCCCGCTCAACAAATGACATGATGGCGGCCTCGTCGTCCTAATGGAACAAGGCGGATTGTGCCGTGTTTGAGAGAGAGAGGATACGATGGTCGAGACGAAGAAAGGGGGTTTAAACCGGTCGGCTTCTATCCACGTTGCTCTTGCCACTCGCAGCGAGCGCTAGCTCTTTCATATCCCTCCCCCCTTTGTATTGGCGAGCCGCATCTTGCGGCTCCCCGTCAGTAATACTGCCGAGTAAACCCTGTCTAGGTAGTCGCTCTCCGGGCTTTCCCTGGACTTGGCGGAGACTAGCGCAGAGAAACAACCGGCCCCGGAAAGAAGACAGGCAGTCGGAAATAAGTTAGTCTCCCGCAATTAACCTAACCCCACACATTAGGGCGCTTGGCTGACATCTGAATTAGCGTGAGGGTTCCCCATTCTCAAGGGCCAAATAAAGTGGAGCGTGGCACGGGTAACACTAAGCCTCTCTCTTGGCTTCTTACCTTTCTGCGCATGTACATTTCGCTACCCCACGATGGATTCACCGTCAAATTCAGAAGTAACCGAGGTATTACCGACGTGGGGTGCCTTTCCAGCTGAGCAATATCTCCTAGTAAGCTGCATGTGAGCGGGAGCGGTGCGTAGATTAGCAATACGGCGCTCACATACCAAACCCAGCAGCACTGGGATCCCTCCTGTTCTGAACCTCCGGTTGACCAGCGCCGCCGCTTGATCCGCGACTTTGTGCACATCCTCGACTCGATTCCCCCGGAATGGGTCCTTCCTGATCCCCCCTCCACCGCGGTGGCGATGGCTATCGTCCCCACGCCGGCCCAGGTCCGCGACGTCCTGGCGCCCTGGAGACCGAGGCAGTGGCGGTTCGCCGTGCGGGAGGTGCTGCGCTCTAGCCGTCTCGAGCTATCCGTCTGGGTGCGTACGCACTACGCGGCCGACCCGGCGGAGCGGGCCCGCGACGGCGAGCGGCTGAGGGGTTGGCTCGAGACGGACGACGGCTTCAACGCCAACATTGAGAGCGACACCACGGAGGAGACGATCCCCTGGCGCGTCCTGGATGACCCTCTGCTGTTTGACTTTGGAGACGACTGGGAGCGCGTCTTCGAGGTGCTCCCCGAGTTGGCCGGGCCCGAACAAGGCCTGTCGCGTCGGTTCACGGGCCCTGAGGGGTGGGACCAAGGTAGATACTTGGAAAGCTTGCAACAGATGCTCCGTGAGAATGTCAGCCGGATGGAGACTCAGGAGGAGAAGCTTGAGGCGGTGGAGTGTGGCGGCAACGATATGCAGGTCCGAGCGGTCGACTCCTACCTGCTGCTGGCAGACGAAGAGGCGTCCCGTACAGACAATTTACGTATTGTATTCCTGGACCGCAGGGGAAACTGGTAGCGGGAGTCTAGGATTTGCTGCGATGAGGAGATCTGGACGATGGATGACCAGATAAGGAAGGGCAAGATCCAGACCTCCGAGTTCTGGGACAGCAGCGATGTTGGGACTAACCCTGGTGGGGCGCTGAACCCAAAGTACGGGGCCTTTGGGGAGATTAGTCGCGAGTTATACGGGGTAGAGGATCTGCTCTAGTCTCAATTCTCGCAGTGCTAGTTAAGTGGTCGAAGAGAAATACAATCTGGTACTAGGCAAAAAGGGATGGAGATCTGGAGAACGGTATGGAGAACCCCAAACTATCCCGGACCATGCGACTTGATGTCAAGGCGTGAAAGCAGACCGACAAGCTGCTCCTGCTCGCCCTCCTGCAGATGTTCCCGCCTCTGCTCTACCCGCCGCTTCGTCCCCCGCTCCTCTTCCGGCTCCATGCATCTCAAGTGCTCGTAGCGACGGATTACGCCAAGGTACGAGTGCCACTGCGAGATATTCTCATCCATGTAAGGAGGCAAGCCAACAAAGGGGTTTCCCGGTTCATCATTCTCAAGTATGTCGATGGCGTCCGCGAACCCGGGCACGGCGCCGACGTTCATCCCCAGCCAGGCGTGCAGGCCGTGGACGACGCTCTCGAGCGCGCCCACGACCCACGCGTGGTGCGGGCTCGCCGCCTCGCCCGCGACGACCACGTCGCCCGACGGCCAGATCATGCGGCCCCACATGGACGTGAACTGCTGCGGGCGGAAGAAGGCGAACGCGCCCGCCGAGTTGGGATCCTTGTCCCAGTCGAAGGCGTGATGGTCGACGTAACTCTCGGTGATGAGGTCGTGTAGCTCGGCCTCGGTCATGTCGTCGTTGGCGTGCAGGCGGGCCAGGTCGCGGAGGAGGAGCGCCTTCAGCGCCGCCTCGTCCTTGACCTTCTGGGCGTGGTCCTCGTTGGTCGACATCAGGGACGAGAGGCGCTCCGAGTCCTGTTGCCAGGTGTAGGAGCACAGCAGCACAGCAGTCTTGGTCTCGTCGTCGTAGATGTTGTAGGACGGGTAGACGCAGATACGCGAGTTGAGGTCGGAATGGCCGAGGCCGCCCATCTTGACGTTGTACTTGCCGAGGTCATGGATCCACCAGGCACGGCTGAACTTGATGGCGACCTTGGCCGCCGGGCCGTATCCCAGGCTGCGGCTGGCTTGCTTGACGCCGTAGCTGAGTCCGGCCTCGCGGAGGTCCATTCGCCGTAGGCAGCCCAGGGTCGTTGTGTTGACGACGCCGTGGTACGTGTTTGTCTTCGGTTCTCCAGACTTCGGCGATACATCGACTTCCACTTCCATAAAGCCTGTGGCCCTGATTGCCGTGACCGGAGAGTTGTAGCTGATCTTGTTCTTCTGCACAAGATTCGCTTCCATCTTCTTGGCGAGCTGTTGGGCGCCTCCCAGGATGCAGTACCACTTGGTGTCGTCGTCAAACTCAAAGTCCAAGGACTCGAGAACCGTCTCGCTATATGCTTGGTCGTACCAATTGGTTCCGCTGGATAAGACAGTCAACCAATGCGTTGTGATGTCGAGGTAATTGGGATATCAACTCACCCGTTGAAGGTTTCCATCCACTCGATAGTATCGTAGTTGTACGGTGGTGACGGAATGGGTGCCGTGGTCATCGGTTCAGAAGGGCCCCTGTGGCGGCCGGGGGCCGTAAGCAAGCCGCCCACACAGATGCGTGACGGGGGTTCGTTCGGATTGTACTTACGTGGCCAGATACTGTCGAGTACTGAAAGTATCGTACTTCATGAGGAGATCCCAGCCTGCACGTCCGAGCGGGACCTGTTCGGCATCTCTCTTCAGCGCATCTCTGAGTGGTTTCATCGCAGCCTTCATGACATCATCAGGGGAATGTTCGAGAATTCTGAGGAAGCTGTTAGCTCCTTCGGCGCTAGGGGGGACTTCAGAGGCACAGCTCTGTCTCATACCCTGGAGGGATGCAATCGTCAGTTGACATGAGGAAGGGGTCGTTGTCGGTGGATTGGGAACGAATCCCGTCGTAAGTGCCCCATTTGGTGATGTCGTTGTAACTCCACGGCTCGATTGTGGTAGATGCGGTGTCCCCATTCTTCATATAGTAAGGAATTATGGATCCGTCCTCGGCGCCTGGGTTTGTTTTCAGGTCGGTTTTCTCCATGCCAAGCTTGGCGAAGAGGTCGAACGTCCTGTCTCCATCCATGAGCCTGGCTCTACAATTTGTGTGTGATTTACCCACCTCGTCATGACCGGGTTGTCCGGAAACCTCATCGCCCCGACATCGTAATAGTCATGGGTGTCACGCGGGCCGCCAAAATCGTGAGTGTAGAGTCGGCCCCCGAGCCTTTCTGGCTTGGCGGCTTCGATGATATCATACTCGAATGTTAACCGTGGCGGCAGCTTATTGCCCAGAAAATATTGCTCGGGCGACTCGTCGGATGGCATTACTCCCGTGTACGGGCCTTTCTGCAGAGCTCTTATGGCGAGTTGGAAGTTAAGGTAATCGAGCACAAGGGCGGTGAAGAGGCCGCCAGCGCCTGCGCCAATGATACCGACGTTGATTGTCGTGTCGGGTTCCCAGAAGGGGAATTTGGCGATAGGAGGAGTCGGAGCGGGTGGAAGGTCGTCGCCATCGAGGATCAAAGGACGCCGTGGTTGGCCTCGGATATGGCGCCGGACGAGATCATTCCAGTCATGCTGGACCCCGTGGATGGCATTCTGGCGGGCCCACTGGTCCCTGATAGACAGAGGCGAATTCGCATTCAGCGCCATGGCGAGAATGGTGGAATTGTAACTTGCGATGTGCTTCAAAACTCTCGAGACTCTACAATCTTGCCTCTCGTTTTATGTGCGACAAATCTTATCTGGGCAGCTTTGGGGCTCATCTGGGGACGACGAGCCCGACGAGTGCGATTGTACCCGACGACACCCTCTAATCAATCCATTTGGCAGGCTAGACCTGTTCGAACGCCATGGGGGAAAATATCGGCACCACGGCAAAACGCGCTCAAGGCACACTTACTTCGTAATGGTAATGCCAATAAGGCTCTTTGGGTTGAGCCTCAATCAGCCCAACGGGAGGAGCCCAATTTGCCAATAAATGCGACTGTGCCCGAGGGAAAGTGTGCCATCTCATTTCGTCACACCAATCAGCTCGCTGCCGGTATCTTTGTGTGTGTCGAATCCCCCACCACGTGGCCGCAGAGCATGCGTTCCAATGCACTCCGCCACCGCAGCCTGCTTCCCATTCAGCTGGGGTTTTGGCATGCCGCGCACCCAAGGGTAGAAGTAGAAAAAGGACACGAGGTGGAGGTGGCTGTCGACCACAGCATCACCGTTTTAATTATGCACGCCTTTCGTCCTGCCGAGACTGGCACCGGAAATCATCCTAACGCTTGCCCAGCAATGAAGTACGAATACAGCCAACTATCTATCCAGCCCGGGGACCCACGGGGAGTATTCTCCATCCGACTTCTGCACTTGTTACCTTCCGCGGACCCAAACGCAAGGCTACAGTGCCAGCTCGTCGAGACCCAAATCGCGGACAGTCAACACGGAAAGCCTGCTGTCCCTCGAGGCAGGGTTCCGCATGCTGAATACCAAGCCCTCTCGTACACGTGGGGTGAACCTGTCTTTCCAAAGGTTCTGCATCTCGTCCAATCCGACGGCATTCTCCCGGCTGGCGACATCAACATCACCGAGAACCTCCACTCGGCGCTGCAGAATCTGAGAAGTCCCGACAGGACGCTCGTCCTCTGGGTCGACGCCGTTTGCATCAACCAAGCCGACATCCCAGAGCGTAATAGTCAGGTCAACAACATCCCCCAGACGTATACTGAGGCTGCGAGCGTCCTCGTCTGGCTCGGGACGGACTCTCTCCAGGATGACGGCCGGCTCTGCCTTGACTTCTTCACCGAGCTGGGCACTCTCATTGCCAGTGACCCAGCCCACGGAGCCGAAGGATCCTGGCGGAAGCGGTTTAAAATTAACCAGATGGTCTCCACCTTCTTGGACAGCATACAACCACGTCCCATCGCCACCTTTCTTACGAGACCGTGGTTTCGGCGGCGATGGATCGTCCAAGAGGTCGTGCTTGCCAGGGATGTGTCGATCCACTGTGGCGCGGCGAGCATCCCGTGGGCCACATTCGAGCTCTCCCTGATGGAGCTGTTCGAGAACGACAAGGGCGGCTTCAGCGAAGAGCACCGCACCACTTTGCGCGCCATGTCGCGCATCAGGCACCCCGAGTCCGCGGCAAAGAGGCAGGACCCGCTGGACACTCTCGTCGAGTTCTCCAGCTTCGTCTGCGCGAACCCAAGGGACCGCCTCTTCGCCCTCTACGGCGCCATCCAGCACTGGTTCCCGAGCTCGACCCCGTCGGATAGGGCACGGGTCGGCAAGGTCGACTACGCGCTATCGACCGGAGACGTCTTTACCGAGTTCGCCATCCTCATGATGGAACTCGAACACCTGACTTCTCCAGGCGCGTCTGGAAGTAAATCCACCACCCACGTCATCCAACTCGCATCTGCGATCAAGCACCCAACTCGACCTGCCGAGGGCCAGGAGCCGGGTGAATTCTGTGGCAAGATCCCGTCGTGGGTGCCGGACTGGACCGGCCAGCTGTCCTACGAGCCGCTGTACCACTCGCCGCCGGACCGTGACGCTTCCGCCGGCATCCCGACCCGGCCGATGGAGGTTCTCCCGCCCAACAACGACGTCCGCCTCCTCATCTCTACGGGGATAGTGTACGACACCGTCACGGCCATCATCCCCATCGACATCGAGCCCCTGCTGGGCGCCGTGTACGAGGCCAAGAGCAGCCTCAACGCCTTCCTCTGCGCCGTCGCGCGCGCCTTCGACGCGACGGGCTTCTTCCCGCCGGCGGCCGACGCCGGCGCCGGCGGACCCGACAACAATACGTACGAGCCGACGGGGCAGCACATCGTGATCGCGCTGGCGGCCGCCATCGTCGCCAACTGGGAGCACACGCCCAGCAACTCGTACTTTGCCCAGCACCCTCGCTTCCCGGGCGACTTCCTCGAGCAGCTAGGCTCGTCGCGCCACCACCTGCCCGAGATCATGCACAAGTGGCCCGCCTACGTCGAGCTCGTCACTATCACCATGCGCGGCCGGAGCTTGTTCCTGACCGCGGGGGGTTACGTCGGCGTCGGCGCTGCGGATATCCTGCCGGGTGACGCCGTCTGTCTGCTTAGTGGCGTGCGCATCCCGTTCGTGCTGAGGCCGCTGCGCGGGCCGGTGGTGGCGGCGACGGCGGCGGCAGCGGGGGAGAACGAGCCGTGCGTACCGGGTGCGCCCGGCTGTTACCGGTTCCAGGACGAGGAGCAGTGTAAGGAGGTTGTCTCCAAGGTGTGGAAGGATCCTGCGGCGCACTGTACCTTCCGCTTGATGGGCGACGCTTACGTGCACGGCCTGATGGAGGGGGAGGCGGCGAAGAACCTCGGTTCGCGACTTGACGAGTCTCTCAGGATCTTGCCTATAACGTAATCTATGCTAAAAGCCAGGCGATATTTTTGTTCGGCTGGTGTTGCGAAGGAGTTACCTGCGAGCTGCTTTGTCTCTTTGATTTTCTAGCGATGGAACCCCCGGCTTGTCTTTTCCGTTTGAGCATGGCCTAGGATTATTACATTTAACTACCCTGCTACTTGGCTATGTATTCTCAACTGTTGGCGTAGAAAGCTAGCAAGTTCCATCATGACGCCAAGACCCAGAGATTTGAACCCATAGCGACATTCTGCAAACATTGAGCTTGACTGCTAGTGCCACTACTGCAACCTCCACCAACCCTACTACTCCAGCTCCCACTTCTCGCGTTCGAGGAATTCTTCGCGTCCTACCCCCAAATACAGCGACAAGCATAGGCTATGCTTGTAGAAAACATCATGTAATTTAAAATGGCGCTAGTAAAGACAGAAGGCAGAGCTTGTAGAGAAACAGAAGGTAAAGCTTGTAGACATTTTCAGCGGTAAAATTGACAAAATTGGTATGTGTATAAAGCTTAAATGCAAGCGAAATCTTTAGTGCTATTTTCAAGTTGGTAAAATGCTTGTAGGTAGGAAAAGCTATAGGTTTTATTTGTTAGCATTACCTAAGCTAGTATAGCGTTATAAGAGTTAACAATGCATTAGCTTGTTGTCTAAGGTAAATAGAAGCAAATAGTAGTGTAAAGCTATAGTTATAACTATTTAGTAGTTAGCTAAGACATGCATTTAAACTACTATTGAGAAGGAGAGACACAAAACTACCTACCTACCTACCTCTTAACATAGTATACTGACGTGGTGAATGGAAAAGGCACGGGCCGCTTCAGGCTAGGATGAGTCAGCTTCAGACCAGATTTTCTGCGCTTCCATATAAGAGCGTAATCAGGGCCTCAAATTGTAAGATCATCATCAATTACGCAGACTTACACAGATTTACAAGCAGCACTCTTTACACCTTAGTTATTTTCCAAGCTTTCTACGCAATAATACTTGATTTACCGCATTCCATTCCTTCCTTACGCCTTCAATTCAATTGATTACGCTGCTGGCGTTTTCCTACCTTACTTACACGACTAGATTTGGGCACTACCGCGAGACATATTGGGGCTGATCAGAGTCACCTGACTAGTCACATGCGCTAGAGGTAAGGAAGAAGCACAATTCTATCTGCCTGCCAGCCAATCACGTGGCTACTGCTGTTGGGGCTTACGCCTTAGCAGCAGTATATTACGTTGAGAAGTAGGTAGGTAGGTAGTTTTGTGTCTCTCCTCCTCATATTTAGGGGGCGATCTGGGATTTGATTCACAAGGCCTACCAGAAGGCTGCAGTCTAATCAAACCGCGCAACCACGAGAAAAGCCAGGGCACCAGCTTGACCCTAAAGGCTCCCAGTCAGTACACTCCTTTCTTTTGTCACAAACCAAATACAAAGATGCCCTAGAAGCAGTAGCTTCCTCATTTTGCAAAGCAACTAGCTTCCTGCATTGCCAAGGCAATCAAGCGTTAAGCAAAAAAAACCCCTAATCATGCTAAAGTAGCATTGAAACCCTTTCCCCTTTCCCTTTCCTTTTCCAGAAAATCACAGGATAAAATAATATAAACCTAGAGTTACCTGATTGGCCAAAAGAGTAGCATGTTGAGAAAAGAGAGTATAATCAGACAAATGCTAGGATTAGAAAGAAAGAAAAGACAAGGATTAAAGCCAAAAGCTACGATAAAAGAATCAAGAAAGCTAAAGGCTAGTAAGGCCTAGACTAAACAACCCGTCCCAAAGCTCAAAAACCAGCTAGTACAAACCAATCAGTCAGTTGCCAAGAAGGCTAATGTAAGCACAAAGAGGCATTAGAACGTTAAGACAGGAAAGAATTGCCTAAAAGAGAAACTTAAGAAGAAAGACTCTCTAGTTTAAAAAGCAGTAAAGAAAGAACCTATAATTAGTAATGATGCAAAAGTCTACGTTTAGGCCAAGGTAGTGATGATATTGCTATGGTTTATATTCCTTGGCGTAAGAAGCCTAAAAAGCATCCTGGTATTTGTTAAAGACCTAGAATTGTAAGGATAGGCTATCGCAAAAAACCTAAAGCCTTTAATTAGATATCTAGGAAAGGCAAGCCACTCCTACAGAGACTAGGGAAGCAAGAATTGGACAATAAGCTCTCTGCAGGCAGAGGAAATCAAACCGAATCACAAAAAGAGGAAGTCTAAGCAGTTATCTACCTTGCAAGTCACACAAGCCTTTACTAAAGATTCCAATTCTTCAAAGCAGCTTACTCCCCTTTTGTCATGTCAACCTACCTCTAGCCTGCTACAAGATCAAACCCCAATACCCCTAAGAATAGCAATGCCTCTCTCTATAGCAAAACCTCCCCCTATAGCAAAACCTCCCCTAATGGCAGGCTTCTAATATCAGGTCAAGTTGATGCCTCTAATGCCTTTGCAAAAGGAAATCACAATCTTTAATGGCAAGAATGTCTTGGAATTCCTAGAAATCTTTAGCTTACACGCTAATTAAAGCTAGCTTACAGACAAGCAAAAGAAAAGATAGACTAAGCACTACATAAAGAAAAGGCTGCATACTACTATAGAGATAGTCTTAAAGCACAAGACTTAGAAAGAGAATGTAAAGGCAATAAAGTTGCAATAAAGCAGTCAAGACCCTAAGTTAAACTCTAATCCCTAGACCAAGCTTCTTGACTTTTACTAGAAGAAGATTAAATCAAGCGCCTACAAATTGTTGGTAGCAATTGCAAAGCACAACTATCTTATCACAAAGGCTAGCAAAACCTAAGATAATAAAGACTTAACTAAGTGGTTTTATTAGAAGCTTCCTAATTAAAGGAAGGCAGACTTATGCAACTGATTTGCTTTAAAAAAGACGTTTCTTAAAAACCTCCTGTAAGACAAGCTGGCAAATAAGCTTTAGAAATAAGCCAACAACAAGATTAAAAACTAAATCAACAATACTAGTAGCTAGAGCATCTTAGACTCTAATCATTTGACAGACTAGTCAAACGCTAGCATAGACAAAAAGCTAGTAAAGCGCCTGGCAAAGAAAGAGAAGAAAGTTGCTTTCAAGAAGTCAACTCTAAAGACTAAGATAGAAAAACCAGCCCTTATAAAAGCCTAAAAGCTGCAAGAAAACCCTTATATAAACAACATAATTAAAGAGTTTGAAAAATTCAAAATCAACAACCTTTAGACTTACAAGAAAAACAACTAGCTACTTAGCTAGCTAATTAGCAAGCTTAACACTTAAACCAAGCCAATAAGAAGGTATTAGTAAGCTAACACTAATTATACTAAGATTGTCAATACTAACACCTAGTATTCCTAGAAACTACAAGGCTATTGTTAGCTGCAAGGTTATGCAGATTAGCTACAAGGCTATAATTAAAGCTATAATTAGACAGACTATTACTTTAAAAAAACCTTTAATTACAACTAACTCTAAAACAGCTAGTATATACTGTTAGTATGCTTTTACTACAGCATAGCTAAGCATATATACAACTGCTACGCAAAGTTTAATCACAACATTTACAAAAGCCTAGTATACATTATAAAAGACAATAATTTGCAAATAAGCTACGCAAAAGCCTAAGGCAAGGTCCTCTCAAAGACTTTATTTAAAAACAAAAAGCAAGTTAATAAGATTAGCAAAGTAATCAAAGCTTTTGTAAAGATTTACATTGACAAGCTAGAAGGGAAAGTGCTAAAAGAGTTTATAAAGTGCAACCTAGATTATAGATTCTAGATAAATCTCTTTGGCAGCTACATGCTAAAGACTCTACTACTAGTCAACCTAAAAAGCCTATTGGTATAGTTAGAATTAGCCTGCTTGAAACCTCTAATTAACTATGCAAAAGAAGACTAAGTTAAGTACAAAAGGATAGACTAGCCTAATCTAGACCTTGTCATGCTAAAATTAAAGCAAAGACTACTCTTAATCTTCGCATTGCAAGCAAAACAACGCTGCCTAAGTAATAGCATTGCCTACCTATTAGAATATAAAAACCCACTAGCTAAAGATGCAGCTGCCAAGGCAGATTCAACAAAGCTTAAAAGCTTAGACCTAGCCAACCCACATAATTAGGCTATAGAAAAGCTAGCAGCAACCTCAACCTTGCAGCTTACCTTAGAAGTAGAAGAGAAGACTAGAAAGCTTCTAAATAAATTCCTCAAGCAAAATATAAAAGTCAATGTCACTAACCTAATTAGACTTTGCCTTAGGTTTGCCACAGCCTTAGAAAGCTATATTGCTAACCTTAAGGTAAAAGCTAAGGCAGTCTTTTATATTGATAAGACTTAACTAAAGCATCTAAAGCTTAAGGATAGAAAGAAAGGCACCTAGACTTTAGCCTTAACCACTATAACAGAGTTATTAAAGCTAGCAGTCCCTAAGTTAAGCTTCTAAAACAATAGTACAATAAAGATTAAAGACAACAAGAGAAAAGTCTTAGATACCAACCTAGTAAGACTTTCTAATTACAATAATGTAAACACTTGCACTACCCTAACAAATGCCTTTGCTACAAGAATCTACGCCTTACCTATAATATACGTTTAGGTTAGACCTTTGAAAGAATCAGCAGCAATTCAAGCTATTCTTAATACTAGCTTAGAGGCAAATATCATTTCTGCAGAATACACTAATTGCTATAGGCTTGCCTACAAGCTAATAGAAATCTACTTGTCAGCCTACTATACAAGGCGCTCGATTAGATTCCTAGGAAAAATAAAAAAGCGCATTTAGGTAGCTAAGCAATAGGTCCTAGGCTATTTCTTCATAATGCTGCTAGGCTAGACAAAGCATAATATATTGTTAGAAATACCCTTTGCAAAGAACATTAGTCTAACATTTAAATAAAGCAAAGCCTCTAACTTGCTTAAAGCTAACTTCCTAATTAGGAATTTGAAGATTATTGCAACTATCTATACACTAAAGACATTAGTAGTTAACTTAAAAAACTAAAAACTAGCGCTTTACTAAGACTAGTCGCTAGAT